CTCTGTCTGTCTGGCGAGCGCGCGCGCCCTATAGCAAAAACCTCTCCAAAAAAAAAAAAGCAAAAACCTCTCAAAAAAAAAAAAAAGATTTATTTAGTTACTTAGTTCCATTTGTTATTATTATTTTTTAATTTGACCAGAGAGAAAGAAAGGGAAAGCGAGAAAGCAAGCCGTTAGGTCCAGACTGGAACCGCAGTCGCCATGTGGGAGTCCAGTGTCTTTAACCACATCGCCACCTGCCGGCCCCATGACAAAAAAAAAAATCTTAAAAAAAAAAAAGGATCTTGCTAACTGTATTTCTGATACTGTTTCCTGCGACACTACGTATTTGTTACGCGTGCACAAACACTGCAGGGCTTGAATGTGGTACAGAAACGGCCGTGGCCCACCACCCCAGAAAAGGCATTGGGGACCTTGGCTACGTGAGCAAGAGGCTGAGCCCTCGGAGCCCTCGGCCTCCCGCGGCCTCCCCGAGCGCAAGCACGGAGGGAGCCTGCGGGGAATCTGGCACAGGCCCGCTAGGCCGCCAGGTGTCCGGTCCCCTCCCCTGGGTGGGGAAGAGAGCACCTGCTGGCTGTGGGGACAGCTGTCCTTGGAGACGAGGTCTTCAGGGTCCCTGTGTCCTCACTGCACGAGTAGGAGACTGTCCCCAGGAAGGGGCCCTTTGGCAGAAATCCCAGGGGACGCAGTCACTGCCCAAGGAGGGGCTGGAGAAGCGCTGGCCAGGCAGGGTCCTGAGGCCCTTTTGGGATGAGGCAAAAGCCTTTCCTCCCTCCACTGCAGGAACAGGGCCACCGCAGCCTCCAGGCTGTCCCGGAAAGGTCTTTTCACAGACTCGGTTGCAGTTTGGGAAGGGGCCAGCGCCTGTGCTCCCCCTCCCCCAGTCCCCTGAAAACCCCCATGACATCCGACTCTGCCCCTCCTGCCCTCCTAGGGCTAAGCCCCTGGCCCCAGCCAGGAGCCGGCCCCTCTATATTCTCTAGGGTCAGGCCAGGCTCAGTCCTAGAGGGCACAGCCCAGGTGAGCCCCAAGTCAGCCCAGGGGAGGCCCACACCAAGTGGTGCCCGTCTGTTGATGGGGTACACGGAGACAAGAACACTTGGGAGAGCTAGGTCAGTCATTTACTCTGCAGAATGAACAGGGACTCAGAAGTTTAGGAACCACATGGCACTGGGTTCAAACCCCAGCTCTGCTGCTTACCAGCTGGGTGGTCTGGGCAGGTGATTTGACCAGTGCTGGTCCCAGCTGCTCCCTACCCCAATGGCTACCATGAGGACTGAACGACTGGCTGCAAAGCAAGCATTAAGGACCAGCTCGTGGTGTAAAGGCAAATGCAACCGGGACCACATGGGAAAGTTCCCTGTTGGAGTCTCAGGGTCTCCTCTCTCTGGCAGGAGTGTGTACGTGTGCCCACGATCCTGGCTGGCTGAGGCTGGGGGGAGGGGGTCCCTGCATGGAGACCCTGTTGAGGGTGCTGTCTCTTTCTCCCTCATGAAAGAAAGAAGGAAAGAAACAAAAATAAAACATAAAGTATTAAATCCATGTCACTAATATTACTAGTAGTACTGTTATTAGCACGAGCATGGAGACTAAGGTAGGTTGCTGGGCTTCTTCTCTCTCCCAAAAGAATAGCCCCCGAAGCTTTAGCTGGGAATGTGGCTGCCTGGCTTATAGACTACATTCCCCAGCTTCCTTTGCATTTGGGTATAGCCATGTGACCAGGTGCTAGCCAATGGGGAGTTGTGGTTGGATCTATTTCCTGAGAGTTTTCTTTAACATTTTTTAGGGGTTTTTTTTCTTTTTTTGGAGAGGTTTTTGTTATAGGGCGCGTGCACTCGGCAGACAGACAGAGACAAAGAGATAGAAATCGAGAAATCACCCCCCAGGGGGGATGGCCACGCCGCAATCCCTTCTCCTCCATTCTCCTCTTGGGATCTTGGACACACATGCACATGCGCCCGGCGTGAGTTTTAAGCCACTGGGTCCGGGACGGGAACCGCAGTTGACTATGTGGGAGTCCAGCGACATAGCCTTTACGCTAACTGCTGGTCCCAGGTTGTTTTTTTAATTACTTATTTACTTTTATTCATTCATTCCTTTTATTTATTTTTTAATTTGACCAGAGAGATACACAGAGAGAGAGAGAGAAAGAGGGAAAGTGAGAAAGCAAGCCACCAGGTCTAGGACTCGAACCATGGTAACCCATGTGGGAGTGTCCAGCGCCTTAACCACCATGCCACTTGCTGGTCCCATTTTTCTAGTATTTTTTACCACCATGCCACCTGCTGGTCCCATTTTTCTAGTATTTTTAAAAGTATTTAATTTAATTTAAGTTAATTTATTCATTCATTTATTTTTTATTTGGCCAGAGAGAGACAGAGAGAAAGCAAGCCACCAGTCTGGGGCTCAAACTGTGGTCAGTCATCTGGGAATATCCAGCGTCTTAACCACCATGCCACCTGCTGGTCCCATTTTTCTAGTATTTTTAAAAGTATTTAATTTAATTTAAGTTAATTTATTCATTCATTTATTTTTTATTTGGCCAGAGAGAGAATGAGAGAAAGAGAGAGAGAGAAAGCAAGCCACCAGGTCTGGAACTCAAACCATGGTCAGCCATGTGGGAGTCCAACGTCTTTAACTACCATGCCACCTACTGGTCCCAAGTTTCCTTTACTTTTAAAGGCCAGGAATGACCCTTCTCTCCCCTTTCCTTCTGCTGATCAGAGTGTGGCAGTCTGGAGCTAGAGCAGCCACTGAGCGCTGTGAGGCTGCAGTGGAAGAGCAGCAGGGCAGGGAAGCCGGGGTCCCCAAGGCCATGGCGCCCCTACCAGCCCTGGACCCGCTGTCCTGCTTGAGCAGGGAACCAGCTCTCCTCTTGTTTAAACCAGTTATTTGAGGGCCGCCCTGTTTGGTCACAGCTGGATCCTTTTAACTCCAGCGCAGCCCGGGACAGCTCCTGAGGAGCTACTCAGTCCCTGCTTCCAGGGACCTCGGTCCAGATGGAGAGAGAGACAATAACCAGGTAAACGAGAAGGAGAGCTGCGAAAGCTCTGAGGGAAATGAAATGACGTGGGATGGAATGCAGCGGGCCGGAGAGAGGGACAGTCTGGAGGGCCTCTTGGAGAAGGAGGCATTTTGCTGAGCTCTAACAGGAGGAGCAGGAAGTTGGTCCTTGCAAAGGGGAGAAGAAAGGGCGTGGGGTCAGGCATCCTGGGCCCCAGCCTGGCCCTACGTCTCCCCAGCGGTGGGGCAGCCTGGGCGTCTTCATAGCAGAGGGGACATTTAGGTTGGGAACTGGAGAGCGTGTAGGAGTTCGAGCACGGTAGTGGGAAGACAGGCTGCTCCAGGACAGAGGTCACAGCCCTCTGTGCTCCGTGCCCACTTGGGACCAGCCCCAAACCAGCCCTCAGAGCCAGGTTCAGCCTCTGGCCAGTCCACCCAGGTGGGGCCAGAATGCAGCCCGGGCTTCCTTCTAACCCCAGCCCCAGCCCTCTCGTTTCTGTGGGTCCCATCTAGTGAGTTCCCTGGACCCAGGAGGGGACACCTTGGGCTGGATTCTGTAGGCTCCTACAAGGCCCTGCACACCCAGGCCCTGGCCCAGAT